GAATCTCATTCCAGTTTTCCCCCTCAGTCTCTTTCACACTCCCCCTTTCATTTCCTCTTTTCTTTTCATTTATCTGCCGTTTCACTGGCGTCTGTTCCAGACTGTTCGTGTCTTTCTTCTCTTTCACTTCCATCTTTCTTCCTCCTCCTCCTCCTCCTCCTCCTCTCCTCCAGCGCCGCTCGGAGCAGCAGCAGCAATTATGTTAAAAGCCAGCAGATCTGCTCTCATCCAAGTGATGTCACCCTGCTCATGTCAGCAAAAAGCAAACTTCCCGCTGCCAAAATGACCGTGTGACACACACACACACACACACGGAGGTGTAGAAACTCTGGCGTTTCAATCAGCATCTGATTAAAGGACAGTAGAATCAGTTGAAGGGGCCATTAATCAGTTTAATTGCTTTCCTTATTTCAATCAACCAATTAACAGCGTGACGAGCAGCTCGTTTTCTGACATGAGGCTATAATATAACAGACCATCAGCGTCACACATGAAACTCATCAAATTGACTAACTTTTCCAGGCGAAAGCACCGCATCCGTCAGGCTGCCCATATGAGAGCTTGCAGTGCGTTTTAATGGGAAAGTAAAAAATAAAAAAAAAACAAAGGTGTACGAATGTGACTGATTGTGCTGTAAATGTGCTCATCCACAGGCCTTCAAAGATTAGGATGAGTTTGTTTCTTCGTCAGATTTGGAGAAATGTAGCATTGCATCAGTGTCTCAGCAATGGATGCTCTGCAGTGAATGGGTGCCGTCAGAATGAGAGTCCAAACAGCTGATAAAAACATCACAATAATCCACAAGTAATCCACAGCACTCCAGTCCATCAGTTAACATCTGGAGAAGACAAAAGCTGAAACTAACCCAGCATTAAGACGTTTTTAACTAAAATACCATAGAATCCATAATCCATAATAACTCTTCCTCCAGTGATCAGACCAGAACACTTTTTCACTGGAGGAAGCGTTATTATTAGGGCAGGGTTTTTACACAAATTTCACGATTCGATTCGATTCTCATTCACAAGCTAGCGATTTGTTTCTATTACGAATTTGATTCGATTCAATATCGATTATTTTGGCTATATATCAGGTACAGTGCATGCCACATTTTCTCAAGGAAAAAAAAACTAATGCTGTAAAATATACACGAGTTGGTACTACATTACTATAATATTGAAGGTTAAAATTAGCTGATATTATTAGGGCAGGGTTTTTACACAAATTTCACGATTCGATTCGATTCTCATTCACAAGCTAGCGATTTGTTTCTATTACGAATTTGATTCGATTCAATATCGATTATTTTGGCTATATATCAGGTACAGTGCATGCCACATTTTCTCAAGGGAAAAAAAACTAATGCTGTAAAATATACATGAGTTGGTACTACATTACTATAATATTGAAGGTTAAAATTAGCTGATTTGTATACAAACACTTAAATTACACTCAATGAAGTTTTTATCATTATAAAGTTACAGTTACATAATAATATTTCTACTCCAATTAGTTTTCTTAAATATAAACATTTAAACGGTGACTGTCATAAAATCGTGACGTATTTCTTCAAACAAAAATGCAACATTGAAGAACAGTGAATATGTTATATGGTGCATATATTTAGCAAAATGCTTCTCTCTAGAGTTTATTTCTCTAAAAAAAGTACTATCAACTTCTTTCATTTTAGTCTAAAAATAAATCAATATTTTGAAATTACACTATAAAATCTACTCAAATGCTCTGTGTATTTAAGTTAATTAAAATTAGAAACATCGCATGAAATTAAATCTCTTGCGTATTAATCCTGTGCAAAAACACATTAAATAACATTTAGTTTAACATTTATTCTCCTTATTCAGTCCAAAGGAAAACATGCTGTAACTAATTCAGTTTGAGTTTCTATTAAATGCAATGAACTTGTTACATTTGAGCGAAAATAAATTGATTCATTTAGTAAATTTCACAATTTACAGTGTTAATATTTTTTTTTCCTCCAAAACTTATGTCTACAAATCAGCAATCAGCATGAACAATTTAGCGATATTATTCTTATTTCTACTAATTTATTCAAGTTTTTTAGAATTTCTGTAGATTATTCTAATTGCTAATTTTTCTGGGTCTTCCATACAGCTGTTCCATACACTGCAAAAACCAACAAATTATGTCAAATGGTTTAGAGTAAAATATTTTCTTCAAATCATTTACGTTTAAAAAAAATATTTATGAGTTTATGTGAATTTATTTCATTCAAGTCTAAAAAAAAACTTCTTCTGAAATTACTCTATAAACTCTACTCAAATGCATTTTGTAACTTGAATTTAATGACATTAAAATTAAAAGCATCGAATCAACTTCATATTAATTTTTGCATATTAACATGCAAAAACACAAAAATGTATTCTCCTCAGAAATCTTTTTTTATAAATACAATGAACTTTTTGTAACATTCGAGTGAAATTTCGTTTAGTAAATTTCCGTTAATATTTAGTTTTTTCTGCAAACTCAAGTGATTTAAAGCAAGCATTTTCCCCAAAATCATTTAAGTTTAAAAAACAATAGTTATGTGTTTGACGTGAACTTTTTACTTGATTGATTTCGTTTCATTTCAATATTTCTAAATATTCAAATTACACAATAAACTCTGCTTAAATACTTTGTGTCACTTGAATTTAGTAAAATTAGAAAGATCAAATTAACTTAAATCTTTTGCATATTAATCCTGTGCAAAAATACATTTAGCTGAGTTCACATAACTTTTCTATTAAGTGCAATAAACTTTCAGTAATATTTGAGTGACATTAATGCATTGCATTTAATAAATTCAGCTGTTTATACTGCATTTTTTGCCCAAAACGTACTTGGCATTAGCAATTGAAGATTTTCTCACCCCTAAACAGAACACAAAAAAAAACACAAAAAAAACGGTTTTAGTCAGTTTGCTACTTAATTTATTATTTAATGTGGACCAGACTTTATGCTGATTGTCAAATGACTAAAAGCACAACTGTTTCATAAACAAGTGGTAAAACGGAGAAAAGCTGCTCACGACTGCTGTTTTCTCTCACTTCACTTTTCTTTTCTCTTAATTTTGATTGATGAGCGTCCATCGGTTTGTTTTCTTTCGCTCACTCTCATTTTTTCTCCAAAGTTTCATCTCATTAATTCTGGACACACAAATCTCTTGGACTGAGAATCCTCTGCGTCTGCCAAAACTCAAACCACATCATCTGAAATCCAGCCTGACTCCAAACCGCTGGAGCCAAAGATCAGCCTTCATCCTCCGACAACAAACCGCAATGTTTCCATATCAGCATATGCATGGATTAGAAACACATCGGGATCATTTTATCATCAAACAACTGATATTCTTAGCAGATCTGGAAGTCTGGATCACGTCAAACCGGGAACAGACGAAATCCAGACACAAAAACCTTCACAAAACCAGATGTAGACCAGATTCATTTTCTCACAGTATTGCACTGATACTCATCTGTATGATGAATGTATTCTTGCCTGTATTCATTAATATCCTACAGGTCAATTAATGCAGAAGCAGCTCATCTAAATGAGCACAAACGAGTTTGTCAGAGATGCTCCAAAAAAAAAAAAAAGATTTTATAGGGCCCTAAAAATATTTTTAAAATTCTGGATTTTTTTTTTTTAACCATTTAATGTAAGTTTCATAATTTCAATTCATTACACAGATTTTTTTTTTTTTACTAAAATTACATTTATTCATTAAAATGGAATCCATAAAATTTAGTCAAATAAAATAAAATTTAATTTGGTAAAAAATTTAATTTATTCATAAAATGTATAATTTATTTATAAAATTTATTTATTTTTGTTAAGATTTTTATTAAAACATAATCCAGAAAAAATTGAAATGGAAAATAGAATTTGGGAAAAATTAAACTGATTTCATAGGACCTTAAAAAAAGTCATTTTTGTTATTGGAAAACAAAAAATAATATAAAAAATCCAGAACCCAGAAAAATTTAAACTTAAAAATAAAATAAAATAAATTTGTATAATATTTATTATACATGTAATATTTGTTGTTCTTACAATACATTGATTTTAAATTGTATAAGTTTCATGATTTCAATTAATTAGACATGCTAATAGTTAAATTAAATTGTATTAATCAAAATAATACAATTTAATTTAAATATTAAAACAGAATTCAGAAAAATAAATAAGAAATAAAACTGAATTTGGTTTAAACAAAAAACAAAAAAAAAGATTTGATAGGGCCCTAAAATTTAATTTTTGTTAATCTTTTAACAAATTGTCATTCAATTGCACAGGTTTCATGATATTAATTAATTAGACATGTTTTTGATTACTACAATTGAATCTAACCATTAAAACACAATCCAGAAAAATGTAAACAGATAAAAAATGAAACTGAATTTGGGAAAAATAAAATTATTTTCATGGGGACCTATACTTATTAAAAAGTCAGCTCTAACCCCTAAAAGTCACCTTTAAAAAACTATTTACTTTATGAAATATTTTTACCTTCAAGGACATCAACAAAGGAAAGTTTGATCAGATTTTGGGAACCTATGAGGGCAATCTTGCACTCAAAGAAGAGTGACGTAAACACACACACACACACACACACACACTCACACACACAGTCACACACACACACACTCACACACACACTCTCACACACACACACACACACAGTGCACTCCCATGTCGCCGATAAACTCTGGAGTGGTTCGGCTAAATTAACTATGCTAATCACGGCGTGTCTCTGGGGATGTGAACACTAAATGGCTTTTAATCTAATGCGCCTCTGCAGACACAACAAACAAACAACTGACACAAGCCCCGCCTCCACCACACTCTCAGCCAATCAGCCGTGGAGAACAGCAGTACCGTTTAACCTTGACCTCTGACCTTCAGTCAATACGGATGAAGACGCACAGAAAGCAGATCAGGGTTTGGACTGGACGCTAATATTTGAGGAATATAACAGTCACCTAAAGTTGGGAGCAGACGCCCACTCCAGCGCCAGACAGGCCAGATCCACAGCGGCGTAAACCAGCAGGAAGAAAATAGTGACGATACTCGCGATCGTGTTCAGCTTCCCGGAGAACAACACCAGCTGAGGAGAGAAAGAGAAGAAGAGACGCTCATCAGATCCGAGACACCTTCACATCACTAGAGAGACGCCTTAAAATGACTATTAGAAATAATAAAATTAAATAAAATAAAATATAATAATGACGAGGTGGAGGGAGGATGGGAAGCAAATTAAAGTAAATGTAAATTTTCTTTTTTGATTTTCAAATTTTATGCAATAAAGAAAAATTACAAATGCACATAAAACTAATAAAACAACCTAAAATGAAAATATATTTTTTAATTCATTAAAATATATATATTTATTTTAAAATATAAATTCAAAATATTATTAAATACTATAATAGTATATAAATAACAGAGGCCGTTAAAGTTAATGTAAATTGTGTTTTTTGATTATTACAATTTTATGCGATATAGATACAGTATGGTAAAGAAAAATTAAAACTGAAAATATAAAAATAAAATATACATTCAAACTAATATATTTATTTATAAATATTAATTATTCTTGTTATCCTTCATATTTTATACAAGAAAACTGGGAAGTGCCAGCACTGACCTTGTTCGTGTGTGTGTGTGTGCGTGTGTGTGTGTGTGTGTGTGTGTGTGGCTGTAATTTAGAGCGAGGGTTATTAAGATATTGGCTGAACATTATGCCTCATGAGTGCTCTTCTCTGAAGATGCTTGTATATAACACAGGCGGATGCTGTAAGTGTCGAGGATAAATTGTGTGTTTATAAGGCGTCCAAACTCTGGGTCAGGCGCAGCAAACGCACACACATCTCTCAGGAAAAGGCTTTCTGAAAGCGTCGCGTGTTTTTGGACGTCAGGAGCGCGTCTGGAAAACTTCCAGCGCTTTAATCTGCTGAGTCACCATCCGCTCATGAGCGCCAGTCCCAGTGCATCATGGGAGCATATATATGGGGTGCTGTGTGTACATTAATGAGGAAAAAAAATTAACTTAAATGATTTTAGCAAATGGCTGCAATATAACAAAGAGTGAAAAATTTAAGGGGGTCTGAATACTTTCCGTACCCACTGTATATATATATATATATTAATTAAAAGATTATTGAAAGTGTTGTACAAGAAAATACCATTTCTGTCTTTCTACTTCAAAATTTCACATTTAATTAAACGTGTCACTTATGTTAGTTAGTTTAGTTTATTGTCCTTTCGGAATTATTTTTGTATCTGTGGCAACTCTTCAGTGATCAACAACAAAATAATTAAGAAATACAAACATCAACAGGTTACAACACATTACAAATAAATACAACCAGCATCAAAAAACATCCCTCTCACAAGAACAGAATCACTGCCACAGATGTAAAATCACAACTGTGATGTCACGAAAGTGATACCCTAGCAGTTATTCTATCAGGACCCGCTGCCTTCCTTGTATTAACACTTTTAAAGGTCCTACAAACTTCTTCAGATGTTATAATGACTTCCTGCCCTACATTCATTTGCGGTCTAATCAAATTCAGTTCAGTTTTAAAATCTGATGTTTCAAATCTACCAAAAAACATATTACACTCCCTGCCATGCCTGCCTTAAATTATCCCTCATCTTTTTGCTTGTAATTATGTTTACACCTAATAATTATTTGCCTAATTTCTTTTTGCACTACTTTAACCTGTGCTCTATCACCTGTCTGAAAAGCTTGCGTTTTCTTCTTCAAAGCTGCTTTTAATTCCCCATTTATCCACGGCTTGTCATTTGGATACCTTTTAATACATTTTGTTTTTATGACATTAGCCACACAAACATGTATATAATCTGTCACCACATTATTTAGCTCATTTAAATCCTCACTAGTATCTATAAAGACATGCACAATCAAAACATCCCCTAAGACAGTCCTCGTTCCACATCTGAATGGTTCTCAGCTCAGGCTTGCTGGTTTTAAGCCGCTGTTTATAAAGAGGAACCAAATGCATCACATTGTGGTCTGAATCACCCAAGGGTGGTTTTGAGTACCCCTTATATGCATTCTTAATATTTCCAAAACACAAATCAAGTACCCTTTCTCCTCTAGTGGGACAAGAAATATACTGATGAAAATGAGGCTGTACATGCGCTATAGAACAACCATTAAAATCCCCCAGAACAAATTTAGGAGCGTCTGGTGCGATGTTTTCCAACCGAGCAACAACAACATCATATATATGTGACCCTGGAGCACAAAAGCAGTCTTAAGTCGCTGGGGTATATTTGTAGCAATAACCAACAATACATTGTATGGGTCAAAATTATTATTTTTTTTTTATGCTAAAAATCATTAGGATATTAAGTAAAGATCATGTTCCATGAAGATATTTTGTAAAT